GAAGTGAGGATGAGACTGCAGGTGCTCGAAAGAGTTTATGTCTGACTAGAAAAGCACCTTCTGTCCCGGCTACTAACCATCGTCAGCAAAGAGAGTCCTGGTTACATGTCTGACTGATTGTTCTGTTCTCTTGGGGAAACTATCCACAGATTTTAAAAAAAAAAAAAAAAAAAAAAAAAAAACCCACAGCTGACAATTCTTACACTTTTCTTTTTTAATGTGTAGTGGCAATCTGAGGGAAAAATTGGTAAACCGTGAAATACTAAGGAGTGTTAGAATGCATTCAGGAAAGCAGAATTAGCCAGGCACGTCTGTAATGTCAACGCAGGGAGCAGCTGCAGTTGGGGGATTCAAGTTTGAGCCCAGCCGGGACAATTTAGTGATTTAACCAGACCTGTCTCAAAAATAAAGAAATAAAAAAAAGTGGGGGGCTGGGGATGTGGTCCTGGATTCAGTCCCCAGTAACACACACACACTCACATGCACATGCACGCCTAAACGGCAGAATTACCAGTCAGTATTTCAGTATTTTCAGTAATTATTTCACAAAGAAAATTGAATGTATGCAATAGTTAAGAGTTGGATTTTATCCTTCTTGGTAACTTTCCTATGCACAGACACGTCTCCATCTACTCCCCAGAAACCAACTCTCAGCCACATGTGGAATCTTGTCCCTATTAATAGCATTATAGACAAGATTTTGGATAACAACATTATTTTTATGTCTCTACAAAACACTGAAAGAGGTAAAGATGAGCTGACCCAAATTGTACCCAATGAGCAAAGTCATTTTTCTGTTCCCATTTCTGTTTTATGAAACAATCATTTTCTACATGAAAAGAACCAAAATGCAGGTGTATGACTGGAAACGGGAGGTGAATACCAAGGCAGACAAAAACAGTCCTGCAATTAGGTGTGTGCACGTCTGGGATTCCTGTGATAGACAGCTAAAATAGGTAGGAATATTGTAGGCAGTCAGATAGGGCAGGCCCCTCCAGAGAGTCAGGACAAAAATGTGAAAACGCACCACAACTTTAGTCTGGAGAGCCATCAGTTGAAGGCCAGGACTCAAGATAACAACAAAAGGCTGGATGTGGTGGCACATGCCTATAATTTCAGTACTCAAGAGTCTGAGGCAGGAGGATTGCTGCAAGTTTGAGGCCAGCCTGGGCTACAAAGTGAGCTCCAGGACAGCCTGAAATGCATAGTGAGACCGTGTATCAAAAAGACAATAAATAAATAAATAAAAGACCAGGGCTTCTTACTCCCCAAGGGATGAGATAAATGATAACACCTACTCTAATAAAGTCTCAATAAGCATCAGTCACCTCAGTGGACAACAAAGACACCCACCATCCATTCATCACTTATCTGAGTTCTTCTTTTTACATAGGAAATCGAACTCAGGACCTTGCACTTGCCAGGCAGGCGCTTGTGCCATTGAGCTATATTCCTGGCCCCTTACCTGTGTTCTATGTTCTTTCTATTTTATTTTATTTTTATTATTTTCTTTGGTACCAGGAATTAAACTCAGGACCTTGCACTTGTCGGGCAGGCACTGTGC